TGGCTTGAAAATAAAAGATGGAGTTATTGATAGAGAAATATGCTTTTGTTGAGCTTCCAGTAAATTGTGTTAAAATGTTATAAAGGGTTCTAGATATGGGATTGTTTGGGTTACTACTATAGAGTTCTCTATAGCAAAGAAAACTTATTTTGCACCAGATCTAATAATAGAAGTAAAGTTTTAGCTAGAGGAGTTTATAGTGAATTTAGTGCTACATCTATCTAGAGTGGAAAGGTTTTCACTTCAACAAGGATCCTTAACAATGGTAAACTCTTCAATGAATAACTTAACAAAACATTTGGATACAACAAACATGTGAGCAATGGGTTTATACTTCAAAGAATATACTAATTACAAGCACATAGATTCAAAAATATCAATGCAAGAACTTCTATGAGCCATTCCAAACTTCTCAAAGAGTATGATTAAGACTTGGTTTTTCACCTTTTAAAAATTAAATAGAGGGAATGCAACCAGAGTTGCATGGGCACATTTGGGTAAAGTTTATGGTGTGGAGAGCAAATTAATTTTCTAAAAAAGTACAATAAAGTAATTATGTTAGACTCCTTTAATTCTTCAATTTGAAATGCCAATTTTATGACCAATTTCAAGAGTTTAATAACAATCAATTTCATAATATATTATATATTTGACCCAAACATGGTGAAGTACTTACAAAGAAGTTTAGTTTCATGAAATGTAATTTATATGGTATAAAAGATAAATTTGGAATTTATATATTTTATGTAATCCAAAACATTGTAATATTCACTACAGTTGTTGTTCATATTAATTAATATAACTATCTAATTGCAAGTAGGATATGCTTGGAGTCTTTACATGTGGCTATACCTATTGTTTTTAAGGTAGTAGAGCAATCTCTAAAAGCACAACCTAGAGTTATAGCGACTAAAGCAACAAATAAGTTAATTATTCCAAATACTCCAAACTTTTACCTCAATAATTGAGTAAAATGTTTGATAGTCCTTCAACACTTACAAATAATATAACAAGCCAAATAATGTGTTTTTATAAATTTTAGTTATATAAGTGAGACAAATAGGACTTTGAATATGAGAAAACTATATAGGACAAAATTAAATTATCTAATTTGATATATAATTTTACTATTCTAATTTTTTAAATAGTTTTATAATATTTTTTAGTTTATAGTATAGTCCTTATATAGTTCTTAATATCATTTTTTGGAAAAACTATATATGGTAAATGTCTACACATACACTACATCATAAATCCCACTAGCAATGCAACTCACTAATGTCCCCTCTAGAGTGTATTTTAAAGAAAGACTAAATTATCTTCAATTTGGAATGAGATTCCAAATATTAGAAAGATTGCATGCTATTTATAATTTTTCCTATGATTGATAGAATGAAAACTATGTTGTTTTTATGTGCCTAAAAACCAAGAAAGAAATAAATATAGGATAAGAGAGAAAGAGAAAAGAAGGGAAGAGTGGAGTGGATGTTTATTATTGCACTTGCTTGACTTAATTTTGTGCTCTACTTTAGTTAGATACAAACAATCATACAAAGAATGAGAGGGAAGAGTAATTGGAGGTTTTTGATATTTAAGAAGATTTTTATTGAGGTTGTGAGCAAGGATAAGTTTAGCATTACTTGTGTATTCTGAATCTTGAGCATGTGGACATACATTGATGATGGAAAGCCAAAGTACAAAATAGATAGAGATAAAGTTCAAGTGTTAATTCATTCTTTTAACCAATTCTATATGGTGGCAACCACCACTTCTTTATGTCCATGAGTTTTAAGGTTGGAGTCCCAAGACTCAAAATAATGTTTTTAAATGTAAGGCTAATTTTTTATGCTCCATGGAATATCATTGTTCTTGGAATGTAAGTTTAATTGAGCATTAGCCTTTCCATTATTTCTCAGTGAAATAGATATGGTTTATGGGTAGTTGAGGACTATGCTTTACCTCAGTCAAATTTAATGGAGTTTAATGGTTAATATTAGGTTGTGGACTCTTATGCTCCAAAAGCTTCTTTTTCTGTAATGGTGTAGTTCATTTTAGCTGAATTGAGTTTTTGACTGGTATAGTAGATTGGTCAATTTTTGAGGTTTTCTTATTGTTGTGAATGAATTGCTCCTATTACATAGTCAGAGGCATCAACTTAAATGTTGAAGTCTTTGCTCTAGTTTGATTAAGCAAGTATTGGAGCTTTTATCAATGAATTCTTAAGTATGTTAAAAGTTTTTTGACATTCTTAAATCCATTTATAGATTTGATTCTTCTTTAGGAATAGAGTCAATTCAAATGCAAGTTAATGTGAAAATGGCCCCACTCCAAAGAATAGCTAGATTAGTCCAGGTAAGAAAATGTTGTTTAGCTATGATTAATAGGAAGTTTTCCCATTTTCCTGTTTATCTAGAACCACTTGTTAACCACTTTTCCCATTTATCTAGAACCATTTCTTTACCACTTTTTCAAGAAAACTTTTCAAAGTATAGAGTCAATTCAAATACAAGATGGGAAAATGGCCCCACTCCAAAGAATAGTTGGACCAACCTTAATTGAATAAGTGGTTCTAGATAAACAAGAAAATGTTATCCAGCTATAGTTAATAAGTGGTTCTAAGCAAATGGGAAAATGTTATTCAACTGTGGTTAATAAGTGGTCTGTTATCTGCAAAGGCTAGTCTAGGTAAATGGAAAAATGCTCAAAGAATTGGAAGAGTGTAGCCTAGATTAGACTTTCTAGAACCTACATAAGGTGGGATTATACACCTTCGTATTATGATCTAAGAAAACTAGACAACCAACAATTGTGATTGGATAAACCAATGGAAAGGGGTCTTAGGCAGCTATAATGCCTCCAAGCATGATTGTTTGACGAGGTGGAAGATGGTTTGAAATTTTCATATCATGTTCCAAGATATCCAAATTGTAAAAGACTTGGTGGAAGCTAAATGGCAATATCATTTATGCCCTCCCAATATACCCTTTGGACAAATTTTCAAGGCAGGATATGCTAGAAGGCTATTCCCCATCCTCACCTCTGAATATAAGGAACTCCTAGATCTACATCATGCCAATTTAATTTGTGTTATCCAAATGGAAAAGATAACAAACATAGGCCTGGCTATACCAGAGAAATGATATTATTAGTTTTGAATAGATAATGGACAAATTAAAATGGGACCTGACATAGTGGCAATAGAGGGATATATATTGTATCGTATATGATCATAGAATGAAATTTAGATATACTATCATCGTCAATTATTCATCTCACTAGCAACCCTACTTGACACAATTATCAAAAAAGGAGATGAAGAAAAGATTGCCAAGGAAAGACCTTTGTGGCCCTTCTTTAGACATGAAGGCAAGGTTGGTGAAGATAATATGGACATGGAAACCACCACTATGGCTTTAGCAATACTTGTCCAAAAATGACAAAACATGTACCTTCTTAAGTTTATGGGCTCCTCATGAAGGACTTTGACCATCTGGATTACAATGGACATAGACTTAAGTTCCAATTTGGCTTTATCTCCATCACCCCATCCCCCCACTCTTGAAATGGTCTTTCTCAATTTCAAGCATGTTGAAACCAAACTCTATAGTTTTATAAACGCTAAAGAATAAAAACCCTGTTGACAAAGTCACACTAGAGTTAAGCTTAATAGAGTCTTCTTTCCCCATTGATTCTTCCAAGCTTGTTCTCTTGGATGTGGTTTCACTAAATAGTACATAGGGACAATGGGAATCTCATTAATCCATTCATGCGCATCACTAATTAGATGATGAGGCATTTGGCTACTTTAAGAGAGTTATAGCTACTCTTGCCATTTACCTACGTTTGGTTGAATTCCTTCACTTTGACATTCAAAGAACTAGGTAGAAATCATATTGTGTCAACATCTATAAAAACCATCACAATGCTTTATTTTAATTAAACAATTTGTCCATTCCAGTTTTGAGCCAATTGTTTGATGCTCACCAAGTTGGCACACAGGGGCTTGCCCTCGCTGCACAGGTAGCTCAGGCTGACTGCCAGCAGCCTAGAAGGTCAAGCTGTAGACCCCTAAGCCCAACCAAAGCCAATCCTTCTCTTGAAGTTATAAATCCATTTTGTCGATTTCCTTTACCTACATTGTTCCAAGTGGTAGAGAATCCAACAAACTTGCAAGTTAAGGAAGGCAACAAATGCACAAATTACCCAATCCCGACACAATTAAAAAAACATATGTGTGTTTTGTGTGTGGTGACAATATAATCCCACATTGTAAAAATTTCAATTTATATTCCAGGGTTTAGGGTTTATATGGTATGGGTGAAAGATAGCTGAGGTCCAAGAAGGCGATCCTGCCCAACAGTGCCATGGGTAATGCCTTTAGCGCATTCCAGGGGAGATCAAGGTGGGAGAGTTTGGGCAAAACATGGGCTCAAAGGGTGTAGGGTGTACCACTTATTTCAAGAACTGGAAAGTGCTATTGGAGTTCTGTGTTGGCCATAAGAATTCTCAAGAACACAAGAGTAAGAGCAACAACTTTGCTAGTGGCAAGCTAGCTCACTTCACGTCCAAGCAGCTCCATGTGGCCACCAATGTTTCCAGGATGGATCATGACAACGTAAATAAGAGAATAAAACATACTATAACTGAGTCAGTTCTGGGTCATTGGGTCCCGTCTCCTTGTCTCCCACAGGAGCATACTCCAGAGAGTTAACGCTTGCAAACTTAGCTGTATGGCAGTTACTCCAATTTCATGTAAAGGAATTGACGATGCTGGCTCTCCCACATCAGTCCAGCCACGGGAGACAATGACGATGGTCCAAGTTCAAACGCATAACACCAGTAGACTAGATGGTCACTTAGTCAACATTTCCCGTTGGAACCTGAAGAACTCACCCTCTGCACAGATGATGGATTGGTGCTGCATCTGGCAATGGAAGACATTCTCAACTCGCCCTGCAAACTGGTCCACAGCCTCCTCGTAAAGTGCCCATCACTGTTTGATCTCGGTTCAGCATCATCCAAGGTCACAAAATCATTCTTCCTACCAAACTATTTTACTTTTCCTCTGATGCTAGCGAAGTTAGGGTTCTTGAGCATGAGCGTGGAAAGAGTAGTGGATGAAGTTTTCGTGGGGGAAAGTGGTGGCGCTTAAGATCTACAGTGACGTGACTCTGAAACAGTGGACGTATGAGGATCTCCGTGGCTTGAGCGAGAAAGCGAGCGACGCCTTCAAAGCTAGAGGTCTTCTCGCTCCAGGTAAGAAAATGCCCAGCGAGCGATCATCTAAGATTTCTCGAAATGGTTTGCAGCGGATCTCAAGCGGAACATTGCTGCAGCACGCCAGTACAACCAGATGGCATCGAGACCCGAGACCCAGCAGGGATCTGAGTCTCTACTTCTCCAAGGCGGACGTTGGAGATGAGAACTGTAGCGGAGTTCAGGCGCGAGTTCTACTCGATAGAAATTCCAAGTGAAGCTTTGCTCTATGAGAGGATGCTGGATGCCATCGTGTCATCGTCTGCGCCTGTCAAGTCCCACTTCAAGAAAGAGGACAACACCGTCTTCTATGATCGCTCCGCTGAAGGGAATGTGGTGTGTATCATGCACGTCTGCGCCCTGGGAGATCATAACGACAAAGACTATCAGGATGCGCTTGGGGGGCTCATGTATGCGATGCAAGATCGCGTCTTCGAGATGCATCCCACCAGGAAGTTTGCGCTTGGCGCCGTTGCAACGTGGGGAGAGTTTGAGATTTTCAAGTTCGTGGCAGGATCTCTTTTCCCGGTTGAAAGCACAGTTCAGCTGTTGAATGTCTGGAAGCGTAACAAGGTTGGCGGTGGATTCCGAGCTCTCATGGCGCTCATGTGTGTGGACGAGGAGGCCATGGGAATGGAACCCAGTGTATCAGAATTGCAGGTGACAGATAATCTCCATGAGTTGTTTCCGAGGGTGTCTTTCTTGTTTCTAGGCTGAAGGTAAGACATTCTATGATCGGGGAGAATACGAGAGTGCGCTGGATCGGTACACTCGGACAATTGCGCAGACCAATCTGGAGCAGGAGAAATCGGTGCTGCTCTCAAACGGAGCACAAGTTCATCTCAAAATGGCCAATTACAGGCACGCCTTTGAAAACGCCCGGTGTGGACTGCGTGGTAATTCGTCCAATGTCAAGGTAACGTCCGTTGATCCTAGCATTTACATTGATTCAGCGGTTAGTACCTCCAGGCAATGTTTCGAGGCGCAAAAGCTGCAATTGAACTGGAGAAGCTTCGTGAAGGATTGAGCTTGTGCGATCAAGCTATAGAAAAAGGCCCCCAAGGACGCCAGCCTTCGGGCCTTGAAGAACGAGATCGAGACAAACATGAGAAGCTAACCGGTTCTCTAAATTCCGAAACGCAATGGTGTGGACTCGGGCACACCATTCCTCTCTGCCCATACCACAGCACTCCCCTTTCTGATAAGTGGGGTGGAAGTTAAATGGTGACCTTTAATAGTGATTCTACATAACTATTATTTATTTATTTATTTGATGGAAGCTTGACTTGTCTTTTTCCATTTCAACTTGTTCTTGCTGGCAATTGGTGATGCAGAAGTGATTCGCTGCTACTGCTACTGTTTTTCCCGGTGCTGGAGCTCTGGTCCAGATTCTTGCTAAAAGTCTGTAGTATCTCGTGAATACAGTAGCATCCATTACATTTGAGTCACTTTTCGGGATGGAATCTGCAAATCTTGCGTTAAGTAGATTCCACAGCTTTGGGTAAAGAGTTTACCTTTCGCAGTTATTCCCGACCATGCCCGAGACGGTTCTTGTGCCAGCAGCCGGTTGAGCAGCCGCTTCTTCTTAAACTTCCGGGAGGAGAAACTGAAACCAAACAGGTCGCCAGCAATGTTTCAGCAACAACATTCTTGTCGTTGGTCTTAGGATGCAGTAAGTTGAAATCTTCTTAAGATCCAAAAAAATTAAAATTGATGTTCTTATGTTGATAAGTCTTTGAAGCGTCGTAATCCATAGTCATAACCCAAAGAGAAACAGATATCCAAGTTCGTCCAGATGCCCGTTCGAGGCAAATGCTATTTATCATCCGGTCCAAGTGATTCACTGATCAAGGACGGCATATTGAGCTTCATACAAATGCCCGTTTCGGCTTCGATGACAATAGATTGGGGCGATCACAGAGAACGCGCATCGCGGTCCTACTGCTCGGAGCTGCCCCAGGAAATCTCATCTGAAAGTTGTTGCCATTCGTTAGAAGATCTCACAGATGCTGGGAAGAGATTGAAGATGGAGTAGCCACTGTACAACATCTGGGAGTGGATCCTCCGGGTTTGATGGAGTTTGAGCGTGACAAATAAGAATTGCTGTGAATTGGACTGATGTTATTAAGCTCGGGAAAGCATCAGACTGAAGACCACGTGTTCGATCCACGGTCACCGCTCAACTTTTCATGGTTGTGCTGCAACTAATCTTAATTGGTGGTTTTCGGAGCAGTCTCTAAACCTGGCCACTTGCTCCACAACCTATACGTTGCTAGAAAACTGCTCGCGTTCCACCTGATACCATAAAAACTCACAACGATTATAAGAACAGCGGAAATGGAAATGGACTAGCGAGTTTTAACTTCAAAGAACAACCAACAAACGTGATAGCCCAAGAAAGCAGGAAGAACATGCACATACAAAATTCTACTCCATCAGTTGCGTAGTGTGGGTTCTTGTTCTTTCTGTGTTTGCATTGGTTTAGAACTCGGTATGTTCAGCAAGCTCATGAATTGACAGCTCTATCATCTTGTCTTTGTCTAGTCCCGGAGCCAAACTCGTCATCCTGGACACAACTTTCCCAGAGAGCAGGCTGGTTTATCGGGCGATAGATATCATCTCCTAATGTTTTGCGCAGCTTACGTTTGGGTTGAGCGTCTCAGCGGCAGTGCAAGATCCATCCTATCCGATAAGCTCTTTGTCCGTTTGCTCTCTTCTTGCTTTTTCTTTTCCAGTTGTTTCACAGCAAAAAGTGTTTTCGGTTATGTTGATGATCGGACAAACCAGCACTTTCCAAAAGGACAGCACTGACTACATGAAATGCACATCTACTATACGATCTACGTATCGAACGACTGTCCTAAGACCATCTACAGGTACAAGAAAAGTCATTTAGAACTAAACGAGTGAAATTCTCGCGCAGGTGATCATAGAGACTGGATCTCCCCAAATACGCTGCGTTCTACCTGACAATCGTCCCCGATCAGCTGCTCTATACCGATGGATTTCCAGTAAGAAACATCTTTAACCGTGTTATATGCACTTGCTTCAATGGAGCGTCCAACACCGCTCAAACAGGAGGCTTGGCTTGTCTATCTCCAGAGGGTCTCAAGGTCTGTCGATCTTTCTCCTTGAGTTTCAAAAAGTTTTTGAAGTTTGTCCTTCTACTAAGATCTTGGTTATCTCTTAATGTTTCTAAGAAATTCACAACGTTGTTGCTTTCTACAACGACACCATGAAAATTCTGTTAACACTCTCGGATTTCAAACTTCTGGAGGCACACGCTCCATACGTGGTCATATTTGTAAGACTTCTGGGGTGGAGTTCCCTCCAACATCCTCCCAAGGCTCCTGTATTATTTGCTCCGATGATCACCAGTTCGTTCCAGGTATGCCCATCTAAGATTTTTGCCCTCGAGGTTTTCTGACTTCTAGATTTAGGGAGGCCAGGCATGGACGTCCATGAGCAAGATGAGATTGCAGTTTCGCAATGGTTTCAAGAAGCATGAGCCGCAGGTCTTCGAGATCATAACCTTTCCAAAGTTTGGAATTGGACAGCGTGCGTTTCTCATCCAGACTCTGGCAGTTGTGCATTTTTTATGGTTCTTATGTTTTTGATAGAGGGACACATACTGTGGGACTGCATCTCATTTCTAATAATCAAGTCACTAGTTGGATTGAGAGCGATTGCCATCTCTCACCCGCATTACTACAGCACAGACTCTTGATGGAGCGAGGCTTTGGGAGGTGTCCCGGTATATATCCACGAATGGTATTGTCTACCTTTGTTTCTCTCTTTCATTTCGATCTTTCTGTAATACTTTGGCAGGGATAAGAAATGGGTGGTTTACCAGCACGAAAACGTTAAGTTTTGGAGGGACTCACTCTTTTACATTTAGGTGGCCATTTTGCTGGTGCTCAAATCCTCCACTGGTCTCATGGAGCTCAAGAGAGGGGTGTTTTATTCATGGGAGATATCTTACTGGTATAAACTTCTCTCGTTTACAAACTTTGTTTTCATTTTGTTTTCCTCACTCCATGTTTGATTTGTAGGTGGGGATGGACAACAAAACAGTGAGCATAATGAGTATGTACCACTCTTGTCAAGCCATGCTAAAAGGATAGGCCAGTTAATCGAGCCATGGGATTTTGAGAGGCTCTATGGTGCATAGATTGAAGAGAATGCAAAGAGCTGCATCGAATTCTCTCTGCAAAAGTATATCGATTGGCTCTCTGTGGATGACGCTGCTGCTTAAGTATCACAATTATCGATTGGCTTTCAAATAATGAATGCTATTACTCAGGAGATGCTTTTCTAATTATGATTATTGGCCATTGTTTTCATGAGGGAAACAATGCACAATCGATTTAGAGTGAGCAGTGTTACAGCATAAACAGTAGAGCTATATCTTTACATGAGTTTCTTTTTTTTTTCTAACATTTTAGCTTCTCCAATGCTTGTGTTACATCTTCAATACTTACAATTTTCTTAAGAAAATTGCTTATCGTCTTCAATTCATAATACTTATGCCCTTTCTTATTTTTGAATGCACGAATGACAATTCCATTGTTAAGCTACAAGCAAAAGGATTTTGACTTGTTGTCCACAATCACTGTGTGTTTGAGGTCCTACCCTAGTCTCAAAAGATTTTTTACAAGCTTTTTCCCTCTGACTTCCTTAAGCAAGCATAAATCTTTGTATAGATGATGAAAAATATTCCCAACTGGGTCAAGCCTATCCAAGATTTTGTCTACATATGGCTTCATTGCTTGAGTAAAAACCACAATTTCATATATCTTACTCATCTCTTTTAAAAAGTTATTCACACTTAACCTCTTTGCAACAAGGTAGTGCTTAAGTGGAATAGTTTTCCCATTGAAGAGGACATTGTGGCTTTGTGGGCATAGATTAATGTCTTGTCCATGTCTAACACTAGCATAGGTTTATTTTCCAGTAGCAAAGAATCGTATAACAACTTCACCTTCTTGTGCTTTTCTTTGGTGGTGATGTTAAGTGTTGCAAAACTTCAGTCCCCATACTCTTGTAGCCTCTTCATAACTGATAGAAAGAATGCAAGCCCTATCTTAATGGTAACAAAATTAAGTTAATATAATTCTGGCTAATCAACACATAAAAATTCAACCATACACGAACCCTAGTGCTGAGAGTCTCTAGGTAGCTTGAGCTCCACACTAGGGATCTTTGTGAATCTCTTGGCAAACAGCCAGCAACAAGACCCAAGCAACACTTTTGGGCTTTGAGTTCCTTGGCTTTGTCTAGCTCTCCAATACCTAAACTATACCTAGAATATACTTGGATATTCTAGGATATTCTACTGTTGTTATTCATTTAGATTAATCTTGTGTTTATAAATTATAAACATGGTTATAATTATAAACTTTTATTTGATGAATTGGATTAATAAGTAGGAATAGCACTAGTATTAAGTAAACCAAGCATTTCTATATGCAACGCTTAGCAAATTATTTAAATGTTCAAACTTCATTAACATTCTGATTCACATGAATTTTCATCAATAATTATCAGTGTTATATTTAGATTACCAACTAAAATAAAATCCATATCATGTAAAAAAAAATAATAAGTTCTAAATAGTATTGTTATGCTTTTAGTCTTTAATATTCTTAATCGCTAAAGATTAATTTAAAATATCTATATAGATTTATATAAATAAATAAATATTCTAAATTGTATTATTTTAATAAAATAAAATAAAAATATCTTAAAAAATACTATACATATGAACTTTATAGCATAAGCTAATTGTAAGATATACTTAAACTCAGTTAGAAAAACTGTGATAATCTCTAGAAATATCTATAAATAAATACATTATATTCAATATATATTTTAGCACAATATTAATAATGCAATAGCAATGATTAAATTAGGACTATTAAAATTTTCAAATTCTAAACCATTGTCCAAATTTGCCAAGTTCATCCCTTATTTAATTGTCAAATATGTGGTATGTGCTCTAATTTTTGGATAACCTATATTGCAACAAACCATATGTAAAGAGCTTTTATTGAATAAAATCAAATAACCTAATTAAAATGTTGTGGAGGGTCTTTATATTGACATTATCTCTAAAAAAAAAAAGGTTGAGTGCATAAAATTGCTCTAATAGCTTACTTACCACATTTTCCTCCAATCGAAATAAAACACTTGATAGTAGATTTTACTTCAAATTAAAGTATAGCTTAGTCAATTTTATATATCTTTTATTCTTTAACCTAGAAGGACTATTGCTCTTAGTTGCCTAGGAACACTGATCTGGTTATATATACTCATACTTAAGACGATGTTAATTTACCAATTATATCAACTGACTTGCACATTATTTTATTATGACAGTTTCAAGTTTCTTAATTAATTTTGCTAGAGATTGTACTCCAAAATAATTTAAAGTCAATTCTATAGTGAGTTTGGGATTAGAAAGATGTGTTACTTATTTTTAATAACTAAATTGCATAATAAAATTTTGTAAGACTTATTAGGCACTTGGGCAACATTTGTTTCAAAACTTATTTATAAGAGAGAAAGAATTAATAAAAACATTGAAATGAACTAGCTTGTTCACCTGAGAAATTAATGTCCCTTAGTTTATAAACAAATAAACTACTATATTAGACAAATTTGTAGTTTTGCTTTTTATAAGAATTTATTTTTAATCATTATAATAAAATGAATTTGTATTACTTCTCTACATCCTTCAAAGTGTTTGCAACTTTTAATTCAAACATAATTGCTTATGCTTATCACAGTATTTTACTTAAATATATTTCTCTATATACTTATGTAAACTTTGCACCCAGTGGAAAGGGAAACTCCTCTTACAACTAACTATAATTTTGCCTAGACCACCATTGTAAATGGCTTTAATAGCTCACCAATTTATTTGTGCTTTATCACTCATGAAACCATAAAAAGTTGGTAATGTTGAAGATTCAATTCCAATCTAGTATATTTTGTTGAACAATATCAAGAAGAGAACTTGAGCTAGCATATCTTCTTTTTTCATCTCACAAACAACTAAAAGCTACTTCATAGAAACTAAGAGGAAAATTTAAAGTTATGAGTTTCTTCACTGTGTGAGTTTGTTTTATAGGCCAAGATTAAGGTGCACTTGAGCAAAGCATCAAACATGGCATTGTATAAGATTAAAAAATATAAAATGTGATGGTTGGAAAGGCTGTTTGAAGTGGAGATTGTTTGTCCAAGGTGGCCAGGTATCCTTAAAGCTGTAGTGGATAAGAGAGGAGTATGCAATGGAGTGACAAGTTTAAATTCTAATCTGAAAAGAAAGAGTTGGCCAATGAGTGAGCAAAGTTCTCAAGACCCTCCATGAGCATTGTACATATAAATAAATATCAATGGAGAAAATACAAACAAGAAAAGATTCCCATTTGCGTTTGACTTAGGTATAAGAGAAATTTGTTAGAGAAAGTTTAAGGGTAGCTGTCAGATTAGAGAATATCTTAGATATTTTAGATGTATTCATTACAGCTTGGCGGACCCCTAAAATGCCTTCCTCAGCAGCTCTAGCGATTCAGTGTCACCTTGCATCAGGCAATCCCTGAAACGATCTTCAATGCCCGTTGCTGGGACTTGAGAGTTGAGATACACCTTGAGCAGTGCGTTGTACAGCCTCACGTCCGAAAAGTAGTGGCACTCTTGGCACTTGTGGACGATCTGCTCGGCAGCGTTCACGTCTCCGGCTTTAGCGTATACTTCCATGATTCCCAGAATGGACGGTCCCAGAGCCAATGTCTGCCTTGTCCCAAACCGGTTCAAGGAAACGTAGAACAGCTCCAGAGCTCGGTCGAGTTGCTTGTCCTTCAGGAAGCACTGGATGATGGAGTTGAAAGCAAACGGTGCTGGAGACCGACCCTTGGCAATCAGCTTTCTCAGCAATCCTTGAGCCTTGCCTGTCATCCCTTCCCGGCAGTAGGCCTCGATCATCACGTAGTGCCGCTGAAGATCAGAGTCCTTGGTCTCGTTTCCCGTCTTCTGGAAAATGGCCTCGGAAGTTCCCATCGCCCCGGCCATGCTGAAGGCCTCTATCGCACACAAGAAGGACGTGTGATGGAGGCTGGACCTCCGCTGGACTCTCTTCCACATCCTTTCCACCCCCTTCCAAGTCACCGAGGAAGCCGTAGACTCGCATCACCACCTCCATGGTGAACCACGGGAGATTTAGAATCTCCAAGTTCGCCATGGCATGACGAGCTCGCTTCTCGATCCCCTGGAAGCCACCAATCTGTTCTCGAGCGCTGAGAATCACCAGAAAAGTCGTGGCATCGGGAACTACTCCGGAGAGCACCATCTCCACGAAGAGCTGGCGGAGCCTGGAGTGGAGCTTCTTCCGCTTGTACATGATGAGCATGTTGTTGTAGCCGTGCGGGCTCTTCGTCAATCCTCGTTCTTTCATCCTCCTCCACAGCTTCTCGGCTCTCGTTACGTGCCTCCTGCTAGCATACCCGGAGAGCAGCGCCAAGTATGCCCATTCGTTGCGCTGCGTGAAGTGAACTTCCGCTAGGATCTTCTCGGCCTCCTCGAAAAGCCCAGATCGACTCGTCAGGTACAAACGCATCACGAGATCTTGCGTAGCGACTGTGAATCTCCTGTCGTGAAACATCCAGTTTGATATCTGCGTGAAGAGAAAACACGTTGTAGAAGAAACCGAGAAGAAAGAAAAAAATAAATCCGAGAGCTCACCTGTAGAGCTTGCAAGAACCGGCTTCTTCGTCGCAGCCTTGCGATGATAACTCTTAGATAGCTCCTCAAGCGATCGCTGTTGTAAGCACGGAAGTAGCGCGAATCACTGGCACTCCACTCCTGGATCATCTCCACCACGTTGTGCTGGCTCTGTGGAAGCGCTCGCAGGATTCTCTTCCACAGGGGGGCGAGAGTTTGCACGTAAGTGTCCTCCGCGTTGGGCTCCCAGAGGATGAGAACCTGGTCATCCACGCAATCGCCGGGCAATTCCGCCGTCGGCCATTCTTGATTCTCATCCAAATCGTCATCGCCGTCTGGCGATTCCTCCTCCTCTTCCTCGGTCTCGGACACATAGCGCCTGGATTGGAGCATCCGGAGTCCCACATTCTTGATATTACACTGGAATCCCGGCGATCGATGCAGCAGCAGCGTGGAATGCGCGCGCGCGAGGCCAGATTTCGGCTGGAAAACCAAGAAATCGTTCCTGCCGGGGCAAGAATCGCATCAAGAGCGCAGAAGCGAGTCTATGTTACCTGTGGATCACTGCGGCACTTCGTCCCAGGCGAAGAGCCCTGCGCATTGCCGCTTAAACCCTAGCCCGGTCTCTAGGGTTTATAGAATGAGCGCAGCGTTGCGAGGAGGAGCTCGAGGCGCGGCTTCGCTTCTCTCCAGGTAGGCCGCGAATGGTCGATCGAGCGCACTGAAAATGCGAGGATTTTCATTCATAGAATCCGCGCCGCTGCAGGGTAGTGTCACAACCCTCCAGCAGTGTCACCTCTGCGATCGATCGGAAGAATGCCGCGGCGAGACTGGCGTTCCGGAGAGGGATCCATGAGATTCGTTTCGAGTACCACGACACGACGTGGCTGCGGCTGTGGCAGAGCGTCGCGAAGATCTCTTTCCGCAGGAGCGTTCTTCCCATCGTCCAAGAGTACATGCAAAGCGTCAAGATGGAGAAGAAGCACTTGCTCAACGTCATCTACAAGCTCCGGATCACTGCGAAGTTTGGCCAGGCTCGCGAAGTAAGTTCCTAGAACAGAGTTTTCGTTCTTCTTCTTCTTGTCTTGCTCGTCCTCTTGATTTTTCTTCTTCTTCTTTGCTTCTCTTGCTCGTCATCTTGATATTTCTTCTTCTTCTTTGCTTCTCTTGCACGTCCTCTTGATTTTTCTTCGTCTTCTTTGCTTCTCTTGCTACGTTTCCTCTTCTTCTTTGGTTCTCTCGCTCGTCAGTTTTGTTGTTTCTTCTCCTTCTTTGCCTCGTCCTTTCGATGTTTCTTCTTCTTTGCTTCTCTTTCTTGTCCTTGTTATTTGCTTCTCTTGCTCTTCTTGATTTTTCTTCTTCTCTTTCTCGTCCTTTTGACAATTTCTTCTTCTTGTCTTGTAGATATGCGACTGGATGATCAGGAATAAAGTTTTCGAGATCGAGGAGTCGGACCACGTCCTTCTTCTGGAGCTGGTTGGCCGGATCTCCAAGTTCCAAGCGACCAGGTGCTTCTGGGAGATGCCGGCGGAGCTGAGATCCGAGGCCGCCTACACCGCGATGCTCCAAGTCTTCGCGAGATGGCACGCCATCCCCGCCGCCGAGGACACCATGAGCGAGATGAAGAGCCTCAACTTGATCACTCGCGTCGAGCCTTACAACATCATGCTCGACATGTACAAGCGCAAGAACGAGGACGACAAGGTCCGCGCCATGTATGACGAGCTCAGCTCTCTCGGCGTAGCTCCCGACGCTCACACGTACCTCATCGTGCTGCGAGCCAAGCAGAAGATCGGTGGCTTTGACGGGATCGAGGCCGAGGTACGAAAGTTTCTGGATGAGCAGCTCACGTCCAGGCAGCCGCTCTTCATCTACGAGTGCATGCTGCGGATCTACACGCTGCTGCGAGACCTGACGGCCATCGAGAACTTACGCTCCATCCTCCTCAAGACGTTCAAGAAGTTCTCGTCCAGCAGCTACAACTGCTTGCTGGATGCATACAGGCAGCTGGGAGAGGTGGAGCGCGCCGAGAGGCTGTTCAACGAGATTGGCAACAAGTTCACTCTCAACATCCAGTCGTATCGAGCCATGATCGCCGTGTACGCGAGCAACGGGCGCATGGAGAAGGCAAACGAGCTCTACAAGCAGCTCTTCCGGGCCGGGTTTGAGTGCCATCCCGCGATCTATCACGCGATGGTGGCGGGCTACATCGACGCCAGGGATCACAGCAACGCGCTGATACAGTATGGAAAGGCGTGGGATCGGAGCTTGCTGGGGCATCCCAAGCCGCTGCGTGCCACCACGCTGCTGGTGCTGCGAGTTTTGGCCGAGCAGGGGGATTTCTCGCGGGCCGAGAGCATTGTTCGCGATCTCAAGCGTGAGAGACAAGGGTCCGACGTCGAGGTTTACAACTGGCTGCTCAAGGCGTACATCAAGGCAGAAGTTCCAGTGTTTGGGTTTGATGGACGGATGCTGGCAGCGGGCGTGAGGCCAAACGATGAATCGCTAGAGCTGCTGAGGCGGATCAATCTTCCAGCCAAGAAGGTGGAGACTAGAGAGAGAGAAGAGAGCATCTAGGTGGGGTTTTGAGAATATTCTATTCTCCAGGATTGATTAATATATTTTTTTGTTTGACTAGTCAACTGTAATTAAATATAGGTGGATGAGTAATTTTAATGATGATTGTTTCCTCAAACAATATTTTAAATTCCAAATGTAACATGTAAATATAGTAAAAAGGATAAATAAATAGGAAAGCTTAATTAAATCTTAAAAGAACAAAGTTCTGTGCATAAGTTGATTCACCAAGTTAGAATAGAGCTCATGCAAATCTATACGCTGGAGCACCAGAAGTTGCAAGGAGGAGGTGAGTTCCCGTGGCCGGATAACCCAAAACACTCCGACTCAATCTCTGATGCAGCATCCCTGGAGTAACCTCGCCCGGGATGCTGTTGAGGATGTGGAGCTGATGATCCACGAGCCGCTGGAGGGCCTGTAGAGCCTGAGGAACTAGAGGAGTTTCCCCCATCCCTGCTGCCACTGGCCGGGTGTGGAGGAAAGTATTTGGAGGAGCCGAGTAGTTTAGCGATGGTGGCCGCAGTAAGCCACCAAGAGGAGGAGGAAGCTTGGTCTCCCAATGCTGCTGCTGCTGCTGGAATGGTTGCGCTGTTTGCCACAAGGTGGTGGCTGGACTAAAACTCTCGCATTTTCCTGGAGCTACTATGTTGTCGTGCTTGGATGGTTTCACCGCAGTTCGCATGGAGTCGATCGTGTCGGTGTACATCAACCGGCGCTTCCCGAAGCTCGCGTCGCGTTTGGAGTCGGAGTTGGCTATCTTGAGCATCTCTTCCAGATTCGAAAGGATGGGAACTTGGGAGATGAGCTCGCCGGCGAGATCCTTCTTGCAACTTTCTACGTTCTCCTCCTTGAGGTGTTCTTCGTCTGAAGGCTTTCTTTGGAGCAGCGACAGGATGTGCTTGGACGCAACCTTGTCTTCTCCATCCGGCCATTGCTCTCTTGGACTGATACTACTGCTAGAACCGAGCTCCTCGGTCACGGTCAGGATGGATTTCTCCACGTCCTGGCATGTCAAGAAGCCTGATGTTCCTCCTCCCACCTTCATGTCTTTCTCGATCTCTTCTAGTGTTGGAGCCGTAGGCATCGGGAGGACCGGGCTCTTTTCTATCACGAACAAAGTGTCCAGATCTATTTTCTGGTCCGAAAGCTCAGTCGAAGTTTCACTATCAGATGCTCCTGGAGAAGAATCAAAGTTCTACACATGAGTTTCGAGCACTTTTGCTGAGAATTTTTACCTGGAGAAGCGCTAAAGTTTCCTCTCTTGATCTCGTTATCAACCTTGACAACTTCCAGAGGTGTGAGTTTGTGTCGAAATTTGTAGTCCAGACGGCGAGGATTAGACCCTGCCATCAAAACACGTATGAAGAGCGTGTAAACTAAACATCCTGGAAACACACCTTCGGGTTCTACCGGATGCTGGTCGAGCTGCAAATCAAATCATCCAAAGTTAAGCGAGCTCCATCTGAACTAAACACACTCTTACCTTCACAGTAGCATCTTTCGCCACCCTCTTCTTCGTGGGGAATGTCGAGACATGCTCTTCCCGGTTCGAGCAGTGTTCTTTCCCCTGAGAACGAAACGAAGCCGACAAACTGTGTGAAAGACGATTTTTCCTGCGATTTCCATTCTTTGGAGAGGGAGTCGACGCTCTCCGTCTCCATTCCGGAATGTCCTCCTCTACTGAAACCTCGGAGTTTATCTCCCTGTTATAGAGAGCTCAGTCCAAACAAGCTCTGGAAGAGCTGGTGTTACCTTAGATCGATGTTGGCAGGAGGTTTCCGGCAACTATCAAAAGCAGCAAAGGACATAAGGAAGTGTGTAGAGTACTTCTTCCGGGGACTGCGTTGGAAAGAACCATTAGTTTTTGCAAAGAAGAAAAAGAAACTTACGACATGTTTGCTGGAGAGGAGTGCTCCAAGTCCATTCCTTTGGTCCTCACTAGATAGCTTAAAGGGATGAAGAGAAAAGGGAAGAGACTATGAATGAGTAATTAATCAAGCAGACAAACTACGTGAATCTAAGTTCCTTTTTCTTGTTTGATCTCTGTGCTCGCTTTTATCTCTCCTGCTTCTACTACCAGATCTAAGAGTCAGTCTTGAGGGAGTTGCATGGAAAAAAAAATACAACAACACCTCGACTCGAATGGAAGATCCCAGCAATTCAAACAGCCAAGAACAGCCTACTCCTCGGGAGACAGTAGCAAAATCACTGCTCCTTTCAAAAGTAAAGCCAGTCGCCGTGCTGTATCATAGACCGGTCTCTCTGGACAAATTTCTCTCTCGCAGTTAAGCTCTCTGGTAAGCAGGCTCTATGGAAATCACAAGAAAGAGAAAGAGATTGTTCTATCTTTTCTACACTTCTACAACCTCAAATCCTAGCAAACCAAACTTTGCAGAGCAGTCCCAGCAGCGCAATGCGCGTCACAAACCATGCAAATGGATGGAAATGCAAGGAATTGAGAGAGTGAGAGGAGAGAGAGAGAAGGGGAAATGGGAAGAACAGGGAAGGGGGAAATTGTGAGAGTGAGGACCAAAGAGAAGATGGACTCTACTAGCTTTGGGTGAGCTTCAAACACTTGGTCTTTATATTGGGGTAGAAATGGCCAATGGCCAAAAGTACCAGCGCGCCGAGACCCATGCCTGGCAGCATACGGGGATTGGGCCCATGTGATGGGTATCAATGGTTGCCAGCTTTGAAAGGATTGTAGCAATTTGGATGTCCGGTTTGGATTCCTACTTCCGTACAACCATCTCAGCCAGATGATGTAGTAAGGTAGCAGTCTATCACATCACATCGATCACGCTCTTTTCTTCTTTTTTAACCTAATCTTTGCATGCCTCATCTTGTCCCTGACTCAAGACAGCCATGAATGGTTACATTACAGGAAAAACAAGCATAGTACACAGGCTTTTTGCTTGTGGCCAGCCGCTGCAAGGGATAGAAGCATTGTAAATGTATAGAAAAGATCCATGGACGATCATGCATTTATGTTTTGTTTAGGAATGGTTCCTTCCAATCTGGATTGCTTGGCAACTGTACGATGAAGGTAATAAGAAATGTAAAATTTCTTTTCCAGTAGTTACTACACGGAAGTTGCCATTTTCTTTCTTGACAAAGAGGGTCTAGGTGTGAATAGCCTTGTTTGGTGAAGCATCCCCATTTGATTTGAGCTCATGAATGTTGGCATCTTTTGCTTTTCTTGACGCCACAAAAGTGTAAAGTGTAGAAGGCACTAAGACTGTAAGTTCTTAGGTCGGATTTGATTTGGTTTGTGGACCCTTCTTAGCATCCAATTTTTGTGTACTGGACTTGGCCTTTCTCAATGTAGCATTCGCGGAAAACTTCGAGCTTTCTCTTTAAAATATGGAAACGTCTAGTCCGAACCAAGATAGATAACACCACAAAAGAGTCCTTGCTCTTTTGCCAATGTATAATAGCAAAAGACAAAGAACTATCAGGAAAGTTGACAGATTCATCGTTATCGTTATCACCACTTTCCATTTCCATCCCAACCGTTCCTCGTCAACGGTCTACATCTCGGTCAAACTTCTGGTCAAAGACCTAAGTCCAAGTGGTTAACACGCTTTTATATATTCAGCGTAAACCCGAGCTCCAAGAACCCTAAAGCTTTTGATAGAACAAAAAAGAAAGTCCATCACGATGATCTCAGATTGCCTGGGACTTGTTAAGGATCACACCCTCGTACTTGAGCTGGAACCACTTCATGGCGTCCTCCTTGGTCACCCGCTGCTTGTGTCCGACCTTGGATTTGCATCGTCTCCTCCTCGCGACGCGGTATCCAGGCCGCTCGAGCACCACGAAGAAATCCATCCCGTAAATCCCAGTGGATGGATCATACCTGAGACAAAAAGCCCAAAACTTAGCAAAAGTTCTCGAGAAGAGGAAGACGAAGAACTTCTTACTTGATGCCGAGATCGATGTGCTCCTGGATGCCAAATCCAAAGCAGCCGGTGTCGCTGAAGTTCCGGCGCAGCAGCTCGTATTCCTTGACCTTGAGGCCGCTCTCCAGGAGCTGCATCGCCTTGTCGCCCCTCACCGTCACGTAGCACGCGATCTTCTCGTTTCGCCGGATGCCGAACGAGCGGACAGTGAATCTCGCCTTGGAGAACACTGGCTGCTGTCCGCTGAGCTGCTCCAGGACCTAGGGGTGGAGAAAATGCGGCAGATCGAGAGGAATTTCTGTGAAAAGATGAGGATGATCGCAAACCTTGGCGGCTCTTGTCAGCCGATCGCCGCTCTCGCCGACGGAGATGTTGAGGACGAGCTTCTGCACCTTGATCTCCCGCATGGGATTCTGCTTGTCCGCCATGGCGCAGCGCCTCCAAAGATTAGGGCGAGACCCTCCTAGGGTTCTAAGCGAATCAACGGCAGGGATATGATGAGCACTTTAACGGCTGGGATGAGTTAGGGTTTATCGATCATTCCATGGGCATTGGGCGAGCAGTGATCGGGAGGGCATTGCTACGGGCGTGCCGGCAAGCAGCGATCCAGAGGTAATGCGGTGGAATGCGCTAGAATGCAGATAACTCGTCTCACCGGGCGCTGTGCCAGGCACTTTGGATCTCCCGGCACGACGATTCCTTGCTTGAATGCGGCGAAGAGCGTGGGATTGGGAAGCTGTGAATCATCGGCGTCGGGCTTGGGTGGATTCGCTGCCCGGAATTTCTCGCAGGCCGTGCAGGTGAAGAAGAAGGCGGCAATCAAGAACGAGCTGGACGATGATCCGATAATGCGGATGAAATTCCGGACCATGGATGACGACGAGATGGACCCTGAGCAGTTCAATCGGCTGTGGAAGAAGGTGGAGGCGAGCCCGACCCGGGCTCTCAAGATCATCCACGCGTGGATTTCTCGAGGAAACCTGGTGTCGAAAGAAGCTCTCATCAGCATTTGTCACAAGCTGTGCTACATCCGGCGCCAGATCCGAGCACTACAGGTACGAGATCGTAGAAAAAAAAAGTTTTTTTTGTGATCGATTGCTTTTTTTCTTTGCGCAGATCATCAACTGGATTGTTGATGACAAGCCATTCACAGTCACTCCCAGAGACTACGCACTCCAGATAAAGTTGACGTGCCGCTACGCGAGTCCTATCAAAGCCGAGCGAATTTACGACCGAGTTCCTGCTGAGCTCAAGACGGAGGAGGTCTCGACAGCCTTGATCGCCTCCATGTCCAGGAGTAATGTGATGCTAAAGGCGGAGGCGTGGCATACAGCGCTCAAGCTCAACAACGCAAGGGCCTGCAACATGATGATGATACTCTTCCTCCGGAGGAACAGGCACCGCGAAGTTTTGCAGCTCTACCAAGATCTAGTGGCTTCCGGCGGGCAACCGAATCCTCTTACGTATCTCCTGCTCTTCAAGTACCGGAACAGGATCGGGGCGATCGATGGTCTCGAAGAAGCAGCCGAGGCAGCGCTCAAGAAGATAGATGTTCACGACGAGAAAGTGAGGAACGCCACACGGTCGGACATGATGGTGGTGTACGCCTACTTGGGAAAGCCGGACATGGTCGAGAAGCTGTGGAGCATGATCCACAAAGAGAGCTGGACTCTAGCAGGGAGATTTGTAGCGGCCATCAACGCGTTTGGGATTCTCGGGAAGATCTCTAGAGCCGAGGACGTACTCAACCAGGTGCTCAAGACGCGGAAGAAGGCCATCCAGAAGCCATACTGCGCGATGATCGGAGTTTACGCCAAGCACGGGATGATGGAGAAGGCCGAGCTGACGATGAAGAAGCTGAGGCTGGAGCTCTCATTCCCGTGGTTTGCTCCCTTCAACCATCTGGTATCGGGCTACCTTGCGAGGGACGAGCCGGAGAAAGCTCTGGAGAAGCTCCGGGAAGGGATGGAGTACGTTGTGGACAAGAGGATCGAGCCGGACTATGAGATGGTGCTGGGGATGATGCCGGTGTTTGCGAGCAAGAGGGACGTCGAGGGGGCCGAGAAGCTCATGAGCTTGTTTGGTCTCTATGGCGACGCCAAGCTCTACAACGCGCTCCTCAAGGTGTACGTGGAAGCCAAGGTCTCGCCCGGCCCCTTCTTCCTCGGGAGAATGGCGAGGAACAAAGTGTCGGATGACGATGAGACGAAGAGGCTCCTGGAATTCGAGGTGACACAATGATAGCGAAGAAGTGCCGTGTCCCAGGAATCGAGCCCGAGACGCGATTTAAACCAGAATATCCTCTCTTTTGGCGGGAATTTGGATTGCTAGGGTTCTTCAGAGTTCGTTGTGGCGATGGCGGATGTGTCCGATGGTTTCAGGGGCGACGGGGATGGAGGCGTCGCGCACAAGCTCGGTGGGATGTATAGTCTCTTCTACGCATCCATGGCGCAGACGAAGAAGCAGATGGAGCACCTGGAGATGCTGTTCTCCAGCCGGGTCTACCCGGCGTTTGTCAAGGAATCGGAGGCGGCGCTGGCGGCGCTGCGGCTGGCGCACCAGGAATCGCTCCAGAAGTGGCTCCAGGAGAGGCACGCGATGATGCAGGAGAGGAAGATCGCGGAGCAAATGTGGTTCCAGGAGAAGCAAGGGCTCCTCCAGGCCAGGGTCAGCGCCGAGAAGCTATGGCTCCAGGAGAAGCAGGGATTGATGAGAGAGCGCGACGCCCTGGCCCAGGAGCTCCGCCTCCTCAAGATGCATCTCGGCAAGATCGACGCGGCTGCCATGGATGATCCATCCAGGCGGCCATTTGGGGGCCTGGATCCTCCGCTGTGGCACCCGCAATTCGGGCGAAACCCATGGCCGCCGCTGGGGGATTTCAATCCGGGACTCTGGCCGCCAAGCTCTCTTGGATTCTCTCCTCCCGAGCACAATGCGCTCACCTGGAACCCAGCGTTTTCTCCGGAAGCTGCTGCTACCTCGGCGGTGGAGAATTTGAGCCCTGTGCCTGAGCTCCAGCCATTGAGATCTGCTGCCGAGAATTCTTCTTCGTCCAAGGGCGATCATAACTCGAAGCTGCCCGAGAGCGAGGGGAAGTATAGCTACGAGGACGAGCTATGGTGGCAGAAATCGCAAGCCAAGGCGGCTAAGAATCGCGTCCCTCCCGCTAGGGTATTGCAGCACAGGCTCAAACTTGGATCCATGGGCTATGGTCGATTCTAAGAAAATTCTCTTCTCTCTTTGCAGTGATCTTCCAGGAAGAATGATGAGAATTCCCCGGATTCGAGCTCTCGACCTTTTTAGGGCAAAGTTTTAAAACGGGAGGGAAAGTGGAGCCCTAGGCTATGGCGGCTTGCTCTGGCGCAGCGATGGCGCCGGATGAAGAGCACGGCGCTGGGGGTAAGCACCTGGAGCGCATGTGTACCTTGTTTCTGGCCTCGATCTGCCAGACGAAGGAGCACATTGAGCATCTGGAGGCCGTCTTCTCGCAGAATCTCTACCCGGCTTGGCAGCAGTCGATAATCCAGCGGCACGAGGCGGAGACTGCGGATCTGAGGCGAGATTGGGAGGAGGCGGAGCGGCGATGGCAACGGGAGAGGGAAATTCTTGTGGCGGAGCGGGATGCTCTGGCACGGGAGAAGGAGGCTCTTGTGGCCGAGAGGGATGCTGCCGTGGCAAAGCTTGAGCAGGAAAATAGGGATCTGGATGCCAAAGTGAGAAGCTTGAAGAGGAAGCGTGACGAGCTTCTGGAGGATCAGGAGACCAAGAGAGTGGCTTTCCGCAGCATGAATTCGAGGTACAGTAGCTTGAAAATGAAGTACGATTCGATGCTTCGCCAGCAAGCAGTGGCATCTGGGATCGAGAGTCTCCGGTCCAAAGAGAAGGAAATGACAGGCCACCAGAAGGAATTCTCGGATGGGCATAGCAAAGAACTTCTAGTATCTGGGATTGGTGGTAGCAAGGAGAATGAGGCAGTAGCATCAGGACCTGGAAGAGTTAGCGATGCTCGCAAGCTAAAAGAAGACTTGGTCGTTGAAGCTAAAGCAGAAGCAAGGATTGAGGTTTTCGGGTACAAGGATGCCACTCCCATCGCGGATAGAAGGAAGCAAAAAGGCACGCTCAAAGACTTCTTCACCACCTCCAGTTCTAAGGACAAGTGGAGGAGCACCAGGGCCGAAAACGATGGTGGCAGAGATCCTCACGATGATTTCCTGAACACGCCTCAAGAGATCGCCATGAAGAAAATCGCGGCTGAGAAATCGAAGCCGCGTGCTGAAGAAACAGTCCATTTCGTGCCGGATACGTTGGGAATCGAGTGGGAGAACCACATCGAGCAACCAGGCGGAGCTGAAGATCATAGTGATGCGGTGGAGACACTAAACTCTCCAGGGAGAGACTGGACTAGTAGAGGCGCGAATTCTGCTAAGTCTCCAGGAAAGGAGTGGATTGCGCCTGGTAAGTCGGGTGCTCAGCTGCCAAAGTACAAGTTCAACGAGCCGGTGCGGAAGAAGGCCGACAGGGAAGCACTCAAAGGCGTGGAATGCAAGCAGTGCAAGAAGTTCTACGACGCAGTGGAACTCCCAGGCGATGGCAACGGGAATTCGCGGTGTGAGCATCACAATCAGGTGTCAAGGCATCGGTATAAGTACGTTCCTCCCTCGACACCGGAAGGCTTCTGGAACATTGGCTTCTCAGAGACCTGATCCGAGCAGGATGTAAGTACCTGAGCTCTTGTGATCCGGTTCTAATGGCTTTTCCACTCGTGCACAGGCAAGTTTCTTCGGCTGTTATACCAAAGCTCAAGAGGCTCACTGGAGCTTGGGCGAAGTTGACGAGTTGCGGAGGCTCGGAAAAACTATTTTTTTCGTAGCGCCGGCGCAGGAATGATGCCCCACTTGCTGCGAACGTCTTCCAGATCTTCGTCCAGGTGCGCAGGTGGGTAGGCCAAAAAGGCCAAACGTGCCAAAAGTCGTGAACTCACCGGGCTCGCGTAGCTCGGACTCTAGAAATCGAACTGGAGGGCGATCGTCGGGGCTGAAGTTCCTGGATCCCATGAACTGGGCGTAGGCGGCGCCAAAGGTATTGGGTGGGAGATCCCAGGCGCGAGACATTGCCACGATGTCACTCTGGGACGCTCCGCGAGAATTCTCTGCTTGGAACCAAGGAATTGCTTGGAGATGGATAGAAAGAACCAGTTGAGAGGAACCCCGGACTCTGTATACTGGACCAGATTCTGTAGATGTAAAGAACATTCCACATTGTTTTTCAAAATTTTGAACAGAGCTAGCTAGAGTTTGTGAGAAATGGATTGGCGCAGTGGCCTTCTCTTTGGTAATCAGCAGAATGGACACACTCCAATCCACTTGATGGCATGAACTAGCTTGCATTTTGCTTCAAGGAGAAGATTTACATGATAGCAATGGATTAGGCAATCATGTGAGTTAGTAATACAATTTGGCATTTATTTTTAGAGTCTCTTCTTTTGTGTGGAGCTAAATATATTAGAATGGATCAAATCAAAAAATGTTGTGGGTACTATTTTATCAAGATTTTATGGGATTTGTGCGTGCATTTGGTTTAACCACCTTTAATTATACTTTTTGACTAGCACAACATTATGAGATATCACTCTTACTACACATCCTTTAACTCTATTTTTTTTGGGAGATGATTCTGTTTTGATGGAAGTTAATGCTATTACTGCCTGTGTTCAAAGACAAAGGTGAGGACATGGTTGTAGCTGTGATATTTGTTGATAAGTATGTAATGAAGTTGATTAATATCTTCCATTTCTTGGTTGGAAGCTTTAGTGTCAACAATGTTTTATTAATGTTGATATGATGGAAGGTTTTAATATAAAGATTCTTTTGGGAAACAAAAAATTATATGAATAATGAAGAGTTCTTGTGTGAATAAATTATTGACCTTTCCATCCTTCTTTTAGGAGCATTATCAAGAGGTTCATTCAACACTAATTCATTTAATATTTACTTTTAAGGATTTTTATAACAAAAAGTTTATTATTTTTTTTATGTTGATTGATATAAGCTTGAGTTTATCTTATATTGCTTGGCCTATTGCCATATATTACCATTTACATTTACATTGTGTAGTAAAGTTAATTTTCATTCTCTATAGTAATGGCCATACATATATATATGTATAGAATGATGTGGATTTAGTTGTATGTATAGGTGATCTCAAGCTTGAGATTTAATCATTAAAAGTGGTGCTAAGTTAAAATTTTGACCTCATCTTTGGTATGGATTGGTTGTGGTACAATCATACCAAATGGGACTTTGAGATTTCTCCTACTTATTTCATACTTCCCTTATCATTTTTCTATTTCTCTTATTTTTATTTTACCCTATCCCTCAGTTTTAACCTTAGTTTTAATCACTTTTATCACCTGATTACTTCCTACTATATTTCCATCTTGCTCCTCTATTTCCACTTTAGATCCCTTCAATGATATTTATGTTGTAATGGTTGATTAACTCATGAAGAAGTATGTTTATCTCTTTGACCTTGATTTATCATTTGGGGCTAAAATTGGAGCATATCATCCTATTTTAATTGGGGATGCCTGTTGAATCAAAGTTTCTATTCGACATTGGTCACCAAAAGAGATCAAAATTCTATTCACAAATAATAAGGAAATATTTAAGAATAATGTTATCTAAACGTTATAGAGTCCCTAAGTATATGAACTTTATCTTGTAACAAAACTTGATGAGAGTATTCGCTTCTACAGTGATTATTGACTATTAAATAAAGTGACTATCTTGAATGTGTATCCTCTTCCTCACATTATTGATTTTCTAAATTGTCTAGAGATAAATCCTTGGTTCATCAATTAGATTTTTGTCGCGAATGTGACTTCGGGTATCGAAAGTTACCTGTTGGCCAGTCCTTATGGACACTCTTTCCTTACTGCCAAGATGGCAGGAGGTCGGTATTGCTGATTCCCTTTATCAGCCCCTCTTGTTCAAGTGTTAGTTTACTGGGCTTAGCACTTGTATTTAGGCAAATGGACATAAAGTAGGAACTCCTATGTGTTTCTAGCTGAGCATACTCAACTTGGCTCTTAGTTCTCTTTTGCTTTGTTTTGCACTAGCATGACAAGAACCCTTGCGTATTGAGATTGGTCCCTCAATATCACTGGATGATAGCTTACCATATCTGCCAAACACCCTCGCTATCATGCCCTTTGTGTTAGTCTCATTTCGGTCCCAAATACTATTTATGGAAAGTGTCTAGATTTGCTCATTTGGCATATCTACAGAATGTAAAGATTGTTCTGAACACAATGGTGTTTGTCCCATGTCCAAATTTGCAAT